TAAACCACCTGCCTGTCCCTACCAACTTTATTGTCTGTAAGTATAAGGACGATGTGGTAATTGGGTGCACCTTCCATAGTGATGCTTCTTTCCATCAACCTCAAAACAATCTGAACGACGTTTTTAGTTGATCTCTACCCCGATCACTCTTACTTAATGTTTCCAAATGTGTCGACGTTCCCTTCAACTTTAAATCAGTCTCCCGCTATTAAACTACATTTACTGATTTACCGCATCTAGTACTTTACAGTCACAGCATTCTCAAAGTTGACTCTGTTAAATACCTCGGAGTCGTTCTATCCCTCAGTCCCTTTTGGACCTTACTTTTAGGGAACGTTTACAACAAGGTTCGTAAACTTTCTTTTTATGCTTCCCGGTTTAGGAAGCTTGCTGTTCCCCAAACTTAATCTTAAAATTCGTGGTAGCATGCATCCTCCCTAATTGACTGTACTGTTCGCCTATGTTTTTTACAGGTTTGAAAGATTTCGTATTAATTTTCAGGCCCATAAAACTTCTATCCTGATGTGGCCAGAGAAGTTCTGGCTGCTTTTATTGCGTGTAAACATATCGACGCATGTGAAAGGATAGCCGACAGAATCTTGAGCAACGAAGATCACTGTTTGCAAAACGAACTTCTTAGATCCAGGTCGAATCCCCGTACCCGCTCCCATTATAGGCTCCTTCCTGCACGCTTCGTCACATGCAGAAACAGCATCCTCCCTTTTCTTGCTCTCACCAATTTTTCCAGGTTTGGTTCAGCACCTCATGAGTAAGTTTATTTATTCATTTTTATCTGTCACTATCGTCTTCCTGCATGCAGTTTGCTGTCGTTTTTGTTTAATCTGATGCGATTCCCCCCTCACAATTCCACTGTATTATCGTTGAAACAATCGCCGAAGATTCCCCCTCTGGGTCCAGAAAGCTTACTCTGCCTTGATTTGACTAGAGTATTGCACTTATCCAACAAATAAATAACATAAAGGATGCTTTGCTGGTAGAAACGATAAATATTCATGTCTTTGTGAACAGTCTGATAAACGCATATCTGGTACACGAGAAAGTCATAAGTAATTTGTGGTTTGATACTTGCGGTTATCTGATGAAAGTAATTAGAAAGCTGATATTAGCATTCAATGAATGAATAAAACAGTTCAATCCATTCCAGTTTGCTGCTCAACATAGACGAGCAGTCAGAACCGACAACTCATTCCATTATTAGACTGATTACTGTACACTAATGAGGACACAATGTTAGGAAACAAGTTAGTTTCCGGTGCTGAATATACAGCACAATTTTTACTACACCTTTTTCCATCAAGCTTTAGCCAAAACCCGCAATGCCTTAGCCACAACCCGCAGTCCATTAACCGCGACGCACAACCTTTAGTCACATCGCTGTAGGCGAGTCAGAACAAAAACTATCGGAATATTCTGAGGTCAACGGATGTTGAATGCGTGAGAATGAGGGTTTACACACAGAGGTTACGTCACCAGATTGTAAGTGGATCGCCATGGTTAGACTGGTGTCCTTACATGAGGCAATTACGAATCACCTGACTGAGTCCTATCAAGCATTCAATGTGCTTGAGGCTTTCCGTCCTTTCTATACGGTCAGGAGAGGTAATTTTCCATGAATTCACCCTCTCACCACTGCCCTCACTCAACCACCTTCCCCACATACACACACTCACACAAACACCAAGCATACCGATAATCACAATTACATCATCTCTTTCTAACTTCTGATTTCCTTCGCAGTTATGTACCTCCTCTCACCACCTCTCTAATCTATTAAAAATTGTGCTGTATATTCAGCACCGGAATTTAGCTTGTTTGCTAAGGTTATGTTCTCAAGATCACTCAATCGGGAATATTTTCTCATAGGTGTAATGAGAAAAGTGCACGCTGGCACGCACCTGCAATCCTTTTATGCAATGTACTGGAAGCCATAACGTTTTAGGATGCCGTGAATTAGATAAGTAAGCAGATCTTATCTACGTAAGCAAAGCAGGTGATTCTATCAGGAAAATACCGGGAACATGATGCTGCTTAAACATCAAAATGAAACGTGAAATGATCTAATCTTTTCAATAAAGAACAAAGAAACGTTTGATCTTCAACGCGGTTGGTCAAACACAACGACCCCCTTTACAACTGGGATATCCGACAGACCTCCAATGAGCACAGCGCATAAGAGACACTTATACATGCGACTCCTTTGTAAAGGGGGTTACATATGTAAACTAACGACCTGACGTCTGGAACCAGCAATCCAAAGCACATTTCCGGTAAAATCTTCACGCCTTCAGTTCACAAATCAACCGATTATTTCAGTAAACCTCAAAGACAAATGGCATATTCTTATCTTTTCTAGAACAAACTATTCATTTGTCTGCTCATATTCGACAAAATTTAAAACTTTCGGTATAAGGGTACAAAAACACCAGTGGCTAAGGGAATTCGTCACCAACAGAACCTTCCACGTCAGGATAGGTGAAATCTGATCCCGTAAAGTATACGTCATAATTATTGTACCCCAGAGCTCCGTGTTCGTTCCGTTACCGTTCCTCCTATTTATAAACGACCTTGCTACGGTTTTGAGATCGCGTAACTTATTTTCGCCGACGACGTTAAGGTAGTTGTTTCCAAGAGCACAGGAGACCTCAAAGGCACATGGCTGCTGTCCTCAGTTGGACACAGGAATGGACTTTGCCCCTAAATGCTGGTGACATCAAGGAATACCGAAAGCCCAAAACCCCGAGGATGACTCTTCAAACTGAGGTCAGTGTTGTCTTGCAGAAAATCGGAGGTTTTCGTGCTTCTGTACGAGGCTATAGCTAGAGCTCATCTTGAATATTGCGTGTGGGGAGGATCATCCTTTTTCACAAGGATGCTGCCTGATCAGAAGGCTTTTAGAGGCTTGCAGCGAGGGTAATTGAAGGTCAACTCCTACCATAGAGACTCCAGGACCTGGGATTTTTCACTCTACAGAGGAGAAGAATCAGCGGTGATCTCACCAAAACCTTCAAAATAATGAAGGCTTGACCAGGTATAAGCCCGGAGAATCTATTCCAGGAAGACTGCGATTCGCAAACAAGGGGATAATTGTAAGAAACTAAGGAAATCTCGGTCCAGGGTCGGAGCAAGGTAGCATGT